GGCTATACTCTAAAATGGGCACTAGGGGCAGAAGAGGGTAGGGGTGGGAAGGGGCTGCTGTACTGTATAATGGGCACTGGGGCAAGTGGTAAGGGGTGGGGAGGAGAAGGCTGTACTGTTTAAGGGGGACTAGAAGCAGGAGAGAGGAGAAAAACTGGCTAAAAGCTGTAGAAAGAAATTACAGATCCATACAACCCAACACATATAGTCCTACCCCCCATCCATCTCCTCCAGAGCAGGATCGTCCCTGAAGCCATGATATGCAGACCCCCATGTTTTGTCCCATCTGGCCCCGTTCCCCCTGGTAGTATAAAAAAAAAAAGGGAAATACAGTCTGGCTGAAATTCCAGTGCACAACTGGTATGTAAAGAGCAGTTATCAATGCTGCACCATCAAACAGGGAGGACATGTTAAGGGACCCTCCAGGGATTTTCATTAACACCTCAGATGAGGGAGCGGAGAAGATGCTTATAAAATCTGTGGATGACCTCAGGTTGTTAGGGGTTACCAGTGCTTTGGAGGACAGGATTAGAATTCACATCATCTTGAGCAATTGGAGAACTGCTCTGAAATCACTTAGGGGAAATTCAGTGAAGACAAGTGCAAATTAGTGCACTTAAGATGGTAAAATCAAATACATGACTACAAAATGGGGAATAACTGGGTAGGTGGTAGCATTGCTGTAAAGGAGTTGTGGGTTATCCTGGATCACAAACATGAGCCAAAAATGTGATGCAACTGAAAAAAAGGCTAATATTATTTTGGGGTGTTGTAGTGAGTTGGTGTGGCTCCCCTCCTGCCCAGAAGAGGGAGCACCATTGCAGACACCCGAGTGGGCGGAGCCACCGCCGCCTGTCCCCGCCCCCCGGAAGTCACGGGGCGGGACAGGAAGTATAAAGGCCGGCCGCCAGAGCTCAGTCAGAGCCCGGCCACCGCAGGGAGCAGACGTGCGGCCGGGAGCTCCCGGCCAGGATACCTCTGAGGCCCGAGGCTGTTGCTCTAGCTGGCCGGAGCTGCCCCGAGCTCACTACGAGGAGGAGCCACCAGAGCCCGTCCGCTCCCGTCATTGGGAGGAGCCCTTGGAACTCCCCCACAGCAACCCCGAAGGGGAGGCCGCACCAGAACCCCTTCGGCCCTGCTGTTACCCGGATTTCCCTACGGAACTGCCGGACCTGCCACCAAGCCCCGGCCGAGAGGAGCCCATGCTGGTGGACTGGACCGGGCCCGGTGCCACGGATGAGGTAGGCCCTGAGGGGGATACTGGAAGTAGCCCGGGGGTAGCCGACCCCAGTCAGGCTGCAGACGCATGTGAGCCAATGTCAGTGTGTTTCGGTCAGGATACCCCACTGACCGGCAGCGGCAGTAACCGCTGCTAGGGCCCCGGGCTGGAACGCAGTGGAGTGGGTGGGCCTGCGTTCCCCCCTGCCACCCCCGCTCACGGGTGGCAGGCTTCCCCCTCACCCAACGCTCTGGTGTCAGAGCCAGGGCTTACCCCAAGTAGTGTTGCTCAGCCCCTGCACAAGGGGGCCTGAGCTCCCTAACTGTGTATCCGCTCAGCCCCTGCATCCAAGGGCCTGAGCTGTGACTGTTTGTGCCCCGCCCTGATCCAGGGCCTGGGCCTTCCGTACCTGAACTGTTTGCCTGCCCAGCCCCTGCACCAGAGGGCTTGGGCTCCTGAACTGTTTGCCTGCCCAGCCCCTGCACCAGAGGGCCTGGGCTCCTGAACTGCTTGTTTGCCCAGCCCCCTGCACCAGAGGGCCTGGGCTCCTGAACTGCTTGTTTGCCCAGCCCCCTGCACCAGAGGGCCTGGGCTCCTGAACTGCTTGTTTGCCCAGCCCCCCCCTGCACCAGAGGGCCTGGGCCCTTTAACTGTCGTTTCCTCAGCCCCTGCACCAGAGGGCCTGAGTCCTGAGCTAACTGGCTGTTTGTTTCGTGAGTAGGGAGTCGGGGTGGCTCCCCTCCTGCCCCGGAGGGTCGAGCCCCGGCAGGAACCTTTTACAGGTGTATTAACAGGAACATCATCTGTAAGACATGGGAAGTCATTGTCCTGCTCTACTCAGCACTGGTGAGGCCACTGCTGGAGTACGGTGTCCAGTTCTGGGCACCAAACCTTAAGAAAGATGTGGAGAAATTGGAAGAGTCCAGAGGAAGACGGAATACTGGGCTGGACCTTTGGTCTGACCAGTATGGCCGTTCTTCTGTTCTCCTGTTCTCAATTCATGGCTGATCTCCTTCGCTGCTGAGGGCTGTGGAGTTTTGCAACCAGAACCCATCCGTGAAGTTGACAAAGCCACCTAGGGGATCTGAACACCTGATTCCCATTGGAACGTGCTTGGGATCTTCTGCAGCTCCCTGAGTCTGATCTTCCCACCTTGGTGTGTTTCACCTGGCTGGGTGGCAATCTCTTTGTTCACCTCGTTAATACTGAACAGATACTTCTGTCGATACAGCTCTGGACAGAGGCAGCCCGTAGTAATCTGAGGGGTGTGTTCTCTGGTCGGGGGATATACTGATTTCTTTGGGGTTGGGGGACATGGTAATCTTCACATCTTCCAAGGTTCAACAGCACCTTTTATCTTTGGCTGTGGTGTCTCTAAAGTCCCCTCTATGAACTGCAGTGGGATTTGGCATCCCAGCTCTCTCTAGATCCTTGGAAATGCCCAGTCTCTGGCTCTAACCTTTTCCCTTGGCTTGCGGCCGCCACCCAGCTTCACTGGAGCTATTAGAGCTAGATTCCAGAGGGGGATTTAGGCTGAGTGTTGCAACACCCAACATTTAGGCACACTGCTGTTGCACAATGAGACCTTCAACTGCTTCAACAGGAGAGAAGCCCACCCTAGAATGCCCAAGAACCCAAGGGGTTAGGACGCTCACCTAGGATGTGGGATCCCGAGATTCAACTATGCACTGGATCAGAGTGGGGCCTAGGGGTGATGGGGGGTTGGGTGGGGAGCTCAGGGAGGCAGTGAGGGTCTGGGGGGCCAAAATACAAGTTTGCCCAGGCTGCCATATTCCCTAAGGCTGGCCCTGCCTGGGCACCATTGCTGCCTCAGTGCAGAACTGGGTGTCCGCTAAGGTCCAGTCCAAGTGGCTGAGATCATTTTGCTGCAGATTCTTGCCACGGTTCCAGATGTGAGTGTGCACAAAAAAGAAAAATGGGAGAAATTTGACTGGCGGGTTCTTTTTTGCACGTGCTCTATCTCTGGGATACTTTGACCAAATGCTCCCCCAATTTGCATCCCTAATTCTATGAGAGATTCTGAAAAAACATGGCAATTTCCAAGACAATCCAAATAGGCAAGTGGATTTTAGGGCCCTTTGGAAAATTGCCTCTTATTAACGATGGAGTCGCTAGAGCTTCTCCGTACCATTGAAGGGGAGAAGAGCTACGGGAATGATCTATGGCCTGGAGACCCAATGGCTGGGAGCTGGAATCAGCAAAGTCCAGGCTGGAAATAAGGTGCAAATCTTTAACAATGAACCAGGGGAGCTATTGACCTGGGGACATGATGGATTCTCCATCTCTTGGAGATTTTCCATGGAGATGGGGCACCTCTTTCCAAGAGGCTTGCTCCAGGTCAACTGCAATGAGTCACTGGATGTGATCATCAGGAGGTCAGACTTGATGATAACAATGATCCTTCCTGGGCCTTATCATCTATTCATCTAGGTAATTCTGTGCCTCAGTTTCTTTATCTGGCATTCCCCAGCTGTGAGAGTTTCCAAGAAGTCTGCCTCTTGGAGGACAAACATCCTGTTACTTGCTGAAAGCTTCCCCAGAAACCAGTGGCAATTTCTTGCTGGGTGCGTCAGTTCCTAACGATGTCCCAGGTGGTGGGGAATCATTATCTGTAATTAATACCCTAGGGGATGGAGCTAAATTGTGAAAACAGCCAGTGTCATTCCCCTGGGGTGTAAGAGCTGACAAGGCACTTCGGGTCCAGTGTTTGCTGCCAAAATCCACCCCAGGACCACGTTGCCAAGTTGCAATGTACCATCTTGGGGCAATGTCACCCCCTAGCGACAGCATGGTGATATCAGAGACATCATAGTGCTGCAGCTAGGGGCTCTCCTTTAACTCAGTGGGCATGTGGAGAAGAAGATCTCAAGTTCTAATCCCAGGTCCCTCAGCAGGGAGGGCTGGGACTTAGGTGTTGTGGGCCTCTTGGTCCTGCAGGACATCGGATGGTTAATGCAGGCTGCATGTTACAGAGTCACCCAATAACCGCTAAAGACATTCCTGTTGTAAGAGAGTTGGAGGTCTAGTGGAAAGAGTGGAGGTGAGGGTCTGAGAGGCAGGATTCCTGGGTTCTATCCCCAGCTCTGGGAGAGGAGTGGGGTTTAGTGGATTAGAGTGGGGACGGGGCTGGGAGGCAGGACTCCTGACTTCTATGGCTCCCCTGCCTTGCCCAGCCCATATCTCCCCAAGATGGCTGCCTTGGCTGATCCATATCTCCCCAAGATGGCTGCCTGGTTCTCAGCTCTCCCTGCATCTCAGATTATTACCTTCCCCTCGGAAGTAATGCCCCTTGTCCTCAGTCTACTCATGGCCGACTTCACCTCCTTGTTCCTGAGCGTGTAGATCAAGGGGTTGAGCATGGGGGTGATGATGTTGTACAGGACTGAGACCAGCTTGTCCACTGAGAAGCTGGAGAAGGGCCGGGCGTAGATGAAGATGCAGGGCCCGAAGAATAAGGTCACCACAGTCAGGTGTGAGGCACAGGTGGAGAGCGCCTTGCGCCGCCCTTCAGGGGAGCGAATCCTCACCAAGATGGTGGTGTAGGAGGCCACTAGGATAACGAAGCAGCTGGTGGAGATCAGCCCACTGTTGGAGACCATGAGCAGCTCCACCACGTAGGTGTCGGTGCAGGCCAGCTTGATCACTGGTGGGACATCGCAGAAGAAGTTGTCCACCCGGTTAGGCCCGCAGAAGGGCAGCCGCATGGTGAGGATGGTCTGGACCATGGAGTGGATGAACCCTCCCGCCCAAGAAGCCGCCACCAGCCAGCTGCATAGGGTCCGGTTCATGATGCTGGGGTAGTGGAGGGGCTTGCAGATGGCCACGTAGCGGTCGTAGGCCATGACAGTGAGCAGGAACATCTCGGCCGCCCCCACGAAGTGCAGGAAGAAGAGCTGGACCATGCAGGCGTGGTAAGAAATACTCCTCCTCTCAGACAGGAAGTCCAACAGCATCTTGGGGGCAGTGACGGTGGAGTAGCACAGGTCCAGGAAGGAGAGGTTGCCCAGCAGGAAATACATGGGAGTGCGGAGGCGGGGGTCAGAGCTGACCGTCGCCATGATGAGGGTATTACCCACCAGCGTGGAGACGTAGACCAAGAGGAACACAGCAAACAAGGCGGCTTGGGACTGTGGAGTCGGGGAAAGGGCTGCCAGGAGGAACTCCCCCACTGGAGTCTGGTTTCTCCACAGCTGCTCCATTGGGCCTGTGCAATCGAGTCTGGGGGACCTGGAGGGGGACCTGAGGAGAAATAAAGAGATAAATTCAAAGGACATTACTTGCGCCTTCCTCCTGTTGCAGTCAACGGGCACAATCCTGAGTGGCTTCCTCAGACTTTATTTGAATGTTTCAATTTTCTAGGAGTTCGGGCAATAAGTGAGAGGAACAGGAAATTCTCATAGTTGAGAAGCAATTTGATGTAATTGGCATTACTGGTGGTTATAAACTGTTCGGGAAGGATAGAGTAGGTGAAAGAGGCGTAAGGGGTATCACTCCACATTAAAGACACTATTACTTGTTTTTGAGGTAATTGATAATTCAGAACCACAGAATCTTGAATTCAAGATCAACCTGCTAACTAACAAAGGGAGGCAGGGATATTGTTGGGGTCTGTTACAGAGCACTAAATCAAACCAGAGAACAGGACAAGTTCCTCTTTGAACACCTGCTCATAATATGTGGAAGGAAAAACTGTGTCGTTTTGGGGGACTTTGAGCAGGGAGTTGTACATGAGAGGTCTTGTGCAGCCAGTTAAACATCATTGGATTTTTTCAAAATTATAAATGATGATTTTCTAACACAAAAACTATTGCACCCAGCATGGGGTAAATTGATTTTGGAACTCATTAGGCTGGATAAAGGTGGACTAATTACTAGATTGAAAGTTGGTGGTTGTGTAGAGAGCGGGGATCATGACATGATTACATTCAATATCAGCAAACAGAGGACAGTCCCAACCAGTAATATTACACATGGTGCTTCAAAAGGGGTAATTTCTAAACACTGAGAAAAATTGTGAGCAAAATTGTGGTCTAGATAATACTTTGTCTTGCAATGAGTGCAGAGGGCTGGACTAGTTGTCCTCTCGAGATCCCTTCCAGTCCTATGATTCTATGAAAACTGATTGGGAGGAAAAATGTAGACAGAAAAATGTGAATGAAAACTGGGAGTTCTTTAAGAAGAGTTTATCAGATGGCCATAAGATTATGATTCTAAAAGCCCATCCTGGTTCAGTGTTGAAGTAAAGGCAGAAATAAAAAATAAAAAAAACAATATATAAAAGGCAAAATAGATAGCAACCAATATAAATTAGACATTATGAATTGCAGGAAATTGATAAGGGAAGCTAAAGACATCAAGCGAATCTCTAAGGCTGGCAAGAATAAGGAGAATAAAAAGGAGCTTTTTAAGGAACAAAAGAAATCCTAGCAAAGGTATAGGCCCATTCCTACGTGAAGATGGTAAAATTGTTAATAATGATGCAGAAAAGGAAATATTCCTGCTCTGTATCTGGAAAGAAGCAGGATGGTATATTCCTGTCACAGAAGGATGATGAAGTACTTTCCAGCCCATGAGTAACCAAGAAGGATGTTATACGATGTCTTCTAGGGAATACACATTTTTTAAATCTGCAGGCCTGCATAATTTGAACCTAAGAGTACAAAAAGAGTTGGCTGATGAGATGTCTGGCCCTCTGATGTTATTTTGAAACAAAGCTTGGAATACCAGGGAAATTCCAGGAGACTGGACTAGTGCTAATGTTATGCCGGTATTCAAAAAGTGAAGATCCAGGTATATGGAGGTTGGTTGGTCTGACATCAATCCTGGGAAAAATAACAGGAAAAGTGCTACAGGAGTCAACTGATAAAGAATTAAAATATGAGGCTATAATTAACAGCAATCAACATGGAAAAATGGGGAGCAATGTAGCTGGGGGGGGGTCAATGTAGATAAATGGTATTTACCCAGGTCCCATTTGGGGAATATGGAGTTTGGTTTCCCCATGTTTTTTTTATCACTACACCTCTGAAAATAGGGCCTGCCAAACGAACCTGATTTCATTCTTGGATGAGGTGGCAAGTTTGGTTGACAAAAGTGCCTGCACAGATGTCATTGACGAAGAGTTCTGTAAGGGATTGGCTATCCCCACCCTGCAGGGGAGAGCGCCCGCTAACTGCTGAATGGCGGGAGGTTCTGGGGCCAGACTCCCTCAATCACTCCTGCGGAAGTCATTCCACTTTGTATAAATAATTAAATAGCTGGTGGAGCAGATCCCACACCGTCCCAGGGAACATGCTGATCAGCAGGATATAGGGTCATTCTCAGGCTCTCCCCCACTATCTATGTGTAGTGGAACAGAATAGGAGAGCCCCATATCAGAATATCCCATAGCGGAGGAGTTAGGGTGCTCACCTGAGAAGATCCCTGCTCAAATCCTTTTTAACCCCTTCTCATGCAAGGAGGAGGACTTGAACCAGCAGCCTCACCCATCCCACATCAATATCCTAACTGTGGAGCTTATGGTTGGCATCTCCTCCTCCCCCCCCCCATTGGTTTGTGGGGAACAGTCTCTGAGCAGACCTACCAGATCAGGCCCTGTCTACCTAACTTGCCGAGGGACACTTTTCCCTCCCCAGATGCCCGGCATGGGGCAGTGGTGCGCGTGCCCAGGGGCAGAAACGTAGGTATCCAGGGAACTTTCACAGCAAAAATGTAGGTGCCCAGTTAGTGTAGGTGCCTACAAGGCTTGGGAGCAGCTGAGTGGGGGTTTGTGAAGGCCAGTGGGTCTTCATTCTGGGATGTAGGCTCCTCAGTCCCTTTGTGAATCGAGCTGCTACCCCCTCCTGGGTGTTTCCCACTGGCTATTTCAGGTGGCTCCCTGCTCAGCAAGCTGGGTTTTGTGGATCCCCACGTAATTCTCCTCATGCATTGTCCAGGGAGCCCAGGTGACTAGCTCAGGGCTGCGGATTGCACCAGGCAGCAGGGCAGCAATGCTGATTCTCATCAGCTTCCTGGATCTAGCCTCTAAACTTCACATTCCTTCCTCCCACAGTAGGAATAGAACCCAGGAGTCCTGACTCCCAGCCCCCCTTCTCTAACCCACAAAAACCCACTCCCCGCCCAGAGCTGAGGCTAGAACCCAGGGGTCCTGATTCCCCTATCCTTTCACCCACTGCGCCTCACTCTCTGAGGCTGGAGCTCCATCTAGTTCTAACAGCTCCTGAAATTGTTCAAAATTCTCCTAACAAGACAGAGGCGGGGAAAAAAAATCATGGCATTTGGTGAAAGCATTCTGCTGCCTTCTCATTCTGCCCTCAGTGCCCCTATGCGGCACCCACCCACTTCATACTCTGCCCTACGGACCCCCTTTCGTGCCTAGCTGACCGGTCACCAGTTGTGCTGCCTCTTGTCCCTTTTGCCATGGGATGTGACTCCGATATACATGGATCAGTCAATACCGCGGGAGCTGATTTTAAAGAGTCTCATTCCTTACCTGAAATTCTGGTGGCCGTGGTCCAGGAGGAGGGGAGACAGAGAGAAAATTTCCAGTGGAAGAAGGACCGATGGGTCAGAGCTGGTTCAGCTTTCTTGGGAGATAGTTTTTCGGTCGCCTAATTAGCAGCCAATTTGTTAATGGCTGTCAGACAAAGAGAGTGACTTTAGAAAGGTAAAATAGCAGGTAACCTGCCTGGGTTGTAACTCTTTAAAAGTCTAGAACCTCTGTCATCAAAGGGACTTGAGCGACTGAGAGTTTTAAAATCTGAATTAGTACTTGTCTCGTCTATTGTGCTTTCCACCCTGAGATCTCAAAGCACTTTACAAAGGCAGGTCGCTATCATTGTTGCTGAAGGGGAAACTGAGGCTCAGCGAAGACGCTTACCCAAATTCACCCTGCCTAGCCCACAAGATAACACCATTGAATGCGACTAAAATCCCTGCATCTTCAATCTGCCCAAGGAAGATCAGAATAGGGTGAGAGATCCTGATATTCCCTGTCAGAGCTGGGAATAGAACCCAGGAGTCCTGATTCCCAGGCCCCATTGCTCTAGCCTGCTAGAGCCTGCCAAACTAGGGAAAGGAATCCAGGTATCCTGCTCGAACCCTAGACCCCACTCCCTTCTCAGCGTTAGGGATGAGACCCATGAGTCCTGACGCCCACCCTCACCTCTTCCCCACCCTGATCCCCAACCATTAAATACCCGCTTCCCATCCACATGGAAATATCGCTATCTTAACATCTCTCTGAAGAAATTCTGAAGTCAAAAGAGATCCAGAGAGCCACTGGTCCTGTAATTTTCACACCAGCTGACTGGCAATTGACATAGGTAATTTAGGCTGTGATTTTTCGAGGGCACCCGAAGAGAACCCAAATTCCATTAAATGTCTTTGAGAACTGGTTGCGTTGGAGATCCCAGCCTTATAGCAAGAGAAACAAGAGTTTGGGGGAACGTCTCAACCACTCCACAGGAAAATCTGCAACGGAGAGATGGCAAAACCCACCCTGCAGTAGCATACAGCCTGGGGGTTAGGGCGTTAAGCTACAATAATAAAAAAAAAAATTAGCAGAAGATAGACGTGAACTTCTGATGTCCTGGACTAGTGGGTGTTCTGGCCTTTCGCCCATGAAAAACTTCAAAAGGTCTCGGTATCATCCCAATGTGGAACTGGCAAAAGGTTGAAATCTTGAACAGTTTTGCAGGATGGGGAAAACATTCCTCTTTTTGTAACTATTAATTTATTTCGAAAGTTTTAATGGGTTCATAAATCATTGTCATGTAAATATCAGAGACAAAGCAATAAATGGAGCTCCTGTTTAGCGGAGCATTACACAGGACTATAACCATCAGATCTCAATTTAACGGGGTGCTACCGTGCCATAGAGTGAACATCTTTACACTACCCATGGCATGTTGTTGCTGGTCATTTTATTAAATCGAGTGAAATCTTTGATTATACTGGGAATATCTATCAAATGTTAACATTTAACAAAAATTAGACAGGTGTGCTGGGCTTTTTGTGTGTGTGCAGATGAATGTACTTTGGCTGTGTATTGAATAAATGGTAACTAAACATCTAAGTATCGGCAGCAAACCATTCCTAACCCCAGTCAATGACTACTTAGCTTATACCTGGTGCAAAATCTGTATCCTCGCTACAGGATCTGAGGATGTTCTCACTAGCGCTATGAAAGTCCAATCCC